TGTGACCACTTTCAACCAAGTGGCGTGCAATGACCCTAGTCGGTCTACGTGATGCGATCAGAATCTTTGGTGTGGGCTGAGTCATAGAATCACGCACGTACTTGGAGATGCGTTCTGCCATTCTATACCTTCCTTTGTTCACCCTGATCGGTCGATTCTACCAGTGCATGCTTCGTTGCCGCTGCAACAGAATGCGTAACTGCAATTAGCGGTAGACACGATTGAGTAGCGCTGTTTGAATGGGGGGAGGTGGAGACACCGTCTGATGGGATAGATATGTAATGTGACAGCGTAGTATGTTCTTTGTAAAGCGCTTTTGATACGCTTGGTGATAAGTCGCATTGTTGACTCACCTTTGTATGGCAAAAAATGGGAACACTTTTATGACGCTTGATGGATAGTGGCTTGAATCTGATTTATTGTCGGATTATGGAAGTGAACGAACTATTCCAAANCGTGATGAACTATAAGTGTTCTCCTTTTCAGTTAGTATTGTGTCTTCCGTGCATATTTTTCTCACTCTATGTAAAAGCGTTCGAACCAGGGGTCTCTTGTGCTCCGTTGGTGAGAACTGTTGAAGCGAAGATACCGGCCGGACCAAGTCTGCTTGCGAAAGATAGATCTCTGGATAGAACCGTCACCGGGTTATTAGGACGTTATTAAAAGCTAATGAATTTCCCTTCTTTACTCCATAGGTGAATTTAAAGCTTGCGGTGAACTGCGTTGAATTCATTCAGAAATACAGCCATATATTCAGGCTGATTGAAGAAGATGAAAATACCATCCATGTATCGTTTATAGAAAATTTTTCGCTTCCTTGCCTCGTCCAGCCGTGCTTCAATCATACCCATGAAAATGTCAACGAGGATAAGACCAAGTGGGCTACCCATCGCCACACTGTCTATCTTTCGAAATGCGGTGGGTTGAAACTGGAAGCGCACGTTTTCAGTGCACAATAAAATGAGGGTTTCAGTAGAAACGGAGGTATGTTAAGGTTGATGTTCTGCCGAGTGGTGAATTCACAGATGAATTCTACGGTTTCGTGTAGGGGGACATTTGGGAATAATGACATGACCTCAAAGGAACACATTGTTTTACCACAGGTTCAATCTGGACAATATATGACAAAGTTGAAAGGAGTCACGTAGGGTGTGATGGCTGAGGCGTTTGCATACTGGCTGAAGGACTTCTAAGAGCCACTGGGCTAGTTTGTGATAGGGCGAGTCATGCATAGATAATTTGGGCAGTAGAAGGAGAGATGGTTTATGTATATTGGCAATTCGTAAATAATCCGTGTATGACAACCTATAGATTTAGATTTTTCATTTGTGCCTTAGTGAGAAAACCATATAGTAGGAGAATTTGTAACTCACGTATTATATGTTTCTCTATCAGTTGAACACTATCCGGGGCGAGGTCTGGTATGAACTTGTGCTTTTCTCCCTAGGCTTCCATCAATGTGGCAACGTATTCGTTCCCTTCCATGACAACTACGCCATGCCCTTTACGAGGTTTTACCACCAAATGATATGGATTGCTCCGTAGTTCTTTCAGCGCTTGATAATGTTCCTGATTCATCATACAATTTTGGTGAACGGGGCCATGGAGAAAGCTGTGGTCGAGGTCTACCAGGTCTACCGGATGTCGTCGCTTGATAAGAGCAAGTCACCGAGTTACTCACTGAAACGCTTAAACTCTGCTTGGACGTAAATTTTACCGGCGTTATTTGTAGGGCACTTGAAATTAAATCCCAAAGATAAAGCTTTCATTTGGGGTTTGGATAGGACTATGTTAGATATGTTCTTAACGAATTTTCGAGGTTCTTGGGGAAAGGCATAATTCAGTGATGATTTGGATTGAGTTTCGTAGCTTCAGGTTCGTCAAGTTCACGGTCCTAAGAATTGTATTCGACGCTAACACAGAAAACTTGATACAGCGGATGACTGACAACTGATTAGTTACGGTAGAATGGGGATTATATGTTGACACATATTGTTGCGGCTTGAATCGAATTGTATCGATTTGGGGCAATGCCAAGTGGCGAAGATTGCCTTTGTTCGGCATGATTTTATCCTTCGTCAATGTGGTGGAAAACCACACAGGATGCCAATCACATTTGAAAGAATATTCTAGGGAAAACAGTCGTGTAGCCTCGACGACGATTTCGCAGCGCCGTGTCAACAGGCGAACCAGCCCCTTGACGGATTCTGGTGGAAGTCTTCCGATCACTGTGAGCTATAATGGCAGAACACCTCTCCACGTACGTGCGTGATTCTATGACTCAGCCCACACCAAAGATTCTGATCGCATCACGTAGACCGACTAGGGTCATTGCACGCCACTTGGTTGAAAGTGGTCACAAGGTAGACCTTAGGACCGCGTTCTCGGTTTTGTTACGTCCATGTGACAAACACCGACTAAGGATACACCAGGCTTTATCGATCGTTCAGAAGAAACTCACGCTGTGACCTTTACCCTTGGCCTATTTTGTTAAATATATAGATATATATATTCACTAGATGCAGTGAAAACTCAATTGCTGCAAACTTGTTCTCAATTCAACCAAACACACCTATTTAGCTTTATCCCACTTCAGTGGCCTCATGCATTCGACTGATTAATCCAGGTGATATGTTCGTTGTTAGATGAACTGCATGTAAAAGTAAGAATCATTATACAATGTTCTGTTGGTAGTGCACCTGCAAACGTATATGAATAAAATTCGAGTATCTATTTCGGTCTGCTAAGTGTCCGGATCCTGCTCCTGTAAGGTGAGCCACTGCTGGGTGTTGGACACTAACTGGCAAGCAGCAATTGTTGCGGTGGTGTCTATCGGCCACGGAGACATCGCTTCAGCATTGCCATGTTGTTTCCCGTGACGGTACTGACAAGGAAAAGTGTATTCTTGAAGTTGTTCATGCCATCGAGCCACCTGACCCAAGGAGTCTTTGAAATTTTTAATCCACTGAATTCAGTTGTGATCGGTGCGAACAATGAATGGTCTTTCTAGCATGTACGAGCGGAATTGCTTCAAAAAGCAGACTGATGCCAGTATCTCCCATCCAGTTGTGCAATAGTTTCTTCACGTTTGTCTAGGCCGCGACTAGCATAGGCTATGATGCACTCCGTGCCGGATTGATTTAGTGACAACACAGCCCCAATAGTGAGTTTGCTGGCATCTGTATCGAGGATGAAGGGGCCTGCAGTCGTTGTTGTGTCCGGTAATGCTAGAATTGGAAGTGTCGTCCTTTTTCTGTGAGCCGACGGAGGGGTCAGTGACGGCTACGAAGTCTCGGATGTACCTTCCATATTATGAAGCCAGGTCAAGGAAAGAACGAATATCTGCAGCTGACTTCCGTACAGGCCATTGTACGATTCAGTTCACTTAGCTGAGGTCAACCTGCACTCCTTTTTTGGATAGAATGTGTCCCAGGTATGACACTTTTTTCGTAGTTGATTACACTTGTAGGTTTTCAGAGTGAGACCCGCCTTGCGAAGCCTGGCGAGTACCTCCTTTAGATGACTATTATGTTCCTCAATTGTCGCGCCGGAAACGTCCAGGTACATCAGGAAACTCCGCAGGACCAGTTTGTCCAGTACTCTTTGCATTAGACACTGAAACGTCACCAGCGAGTTTGTTAGGTCGAATGGCATTGTATTGACTTTATAGAGACCTGAAGGTACCAAGAAGGCAATTTTGCTATGTCTTGAGGAGGAATTTCTATTTGCCAGTACCCCAACGCCAGGTCAAGTGTTGAAAAGAACCAAGCCCCGCTAACGGCATTGAGTGTGGTGTCGATTCGTGTTAAAGGGAAGAAATCTCGTTCAGTGACCGCGCTCAGGTTTCTATAGTCAACACATAAGCAAAGCGATTTACTTTCTTCTTGACCAACACGATCGGTGAATCCCAAAGGGACGAAGATGGACACATAATCTTGTCACGGATCATTTCTTCCAACATTTGCTCTAACTCGGCCTGTTGCTGAATGGGGACTTGCTGTCAGGGTTCGCGAATAGGGCGGTGATTGCCAGTATCAATGGAATGCTGTAGCCAGTTTGTACGGGCCGGGGCGGCGAGATTCACATCAAAAACATCAGCGTGTTCTGACAATATCGGTATCAACGATGTCCTATGGCCAGGTACCACCTTTGAATGTGTCAGAAGAACGTCAAATAAATTGGATTGCATCTGGGCACATGACACGAGGACGTTGTGACTAACTAGAAGCCTCCCCTGGTGGTCCTTATGGACAATTACACCAAAGGAATCCCTTGAAGTCTCGATCTGGTCACAGGACTTCAGCTCCACCGCTGATGTGAATGACACCGCTTTTTGCTGTACGTCAATGTGAGCTCCGTGCGTAGTTAAGAGGTCAATTACTTTTATCACATCCCAGCTGACTGGCGCCACCAAGAACGTGTGCGATAGCATCTTTCCTGCGAGCTGCAGCGTTAGAACGACCTTTCCTTGGGAGGGGACTCGAGCGACAATGGCTGTCACCAGGGCAAGGCCCGGGATGGGAGTCCGTTGCATGCCTTTAACCAGTTCTGTTCGAACTATAGAGCAGGTTGCTCCAGTTTCAAGTAACGTCACCACACGCTGATCTCGAATGCGGCTGGAAAGTGTAAAGGATGATGGACAGGAGAATAAGGTAAACAAAAACAATGGTACCAAAATATCATCTGGTGGCTTACCCGTCCGTTGTTTGAGTAGAATCTTCGGGTCGTGTCCACAGCGTTGGGCCCGTCGACCGAACCGCACAAATTACAAGGTAGTACCCTCGGAAGGTATTCCCCTTCCGCTCCCAACCGCGAGCTAAACAAGCAGGGGGCCTGGGATCGAGGCTTGGAGGTGCACGTATTGATAGCGCGTTGCATGATGTTCGTGCTTGTTTGATCTTCTCGAAGCTGGTAACTATATATACGGCTTCGTCCAGTGTCTGCATTGGACAGTGCAATAGGTGTACCCCAGCTTCGGTATCATAGACGCCCGTGCAAAATCAATCCAAGACTTGCATTTTTATCTCCTCCACCGAAACTCCTGGAAATGCTCGTGGTGTCAGCTCCTCCAGAGCTCCAAGATACTCGTGCACCAACTCGGACTCTGCCTGCATGCGCTCTAGGAAGCGTCCAAGGTAGGAGCCCGCGGGCTGTTTTCGCCCAATAGTCGCCTTAAGCGCTTCCAAACCGTTTCGGGGTCGGTGTCCGGAGGCAGGCGACAACTGAGAAACCGCCATGCTGCGTTGTCGGATAAACATCCGATAATGAACGACTTCAACTCCGTCGTCGGCTGCATGTGCAGTTAATTACTCATGCGTACTTCCGACAACTCAAAATCATTTACCGGGGAGAAGATATTCGGTTGTCGAAGCTGGGCCCGATCGATAAGAATGAGAGGACGTACCACGAGGGTAGCTTTTCCGACTGATCTTTTTCCGATATTCCATCATCCCACCTCTGATACCAAATATATAGCTTCACCATCGATGGCTTCATTCCACCCACTATCTGCCTCAGCAAACATCGACCTCCGTGGCAACCTATTTGGTTACATGCGTAACATATGTCCCTACCAACGTAATCTATGGAGGTCGACTACTTGCTTAAGTCAACGACCGCTACTACCTAAAACTCCTGGTCTCAACTCATCAATGATTGTGCGGCTGCCCCACTAGACTTGTGCAATGCTACATTGACAGCGGTGTTCAAACACCGACAGTCCATCTTTACTGTGTTTTCTTAATGGCCAGGTTTCTGCACCGGATAGCAGAACTGGCCGAACTGCCGCGGCATACACTAGACTCTTCTCAGACAACCGGATGTCTCGAAGGCGCCACAGATTTCTCAGGTTGGCAAGTGCCAACCGAGCCATTTGTATGCGCGCCGACACCTCATCTGTGATGCGTACGTCAGGTATGCAGAAATTATCTACAGCATTTAATTCGGTTGGTGCATCCCAATTTCCAGGTTGGGACACGAGGGATGAGAGACATTAGGAGGTTTAGCTCATACTGAAAGCCAGTGGCAAAAATGCAGTACATTTCATCTGATCAAACTCTGCGCGGCATAAAAAGTGACAAACTAACACAAAACGTGTGCATCATCTTATCGTTCTGATTCCCTATAACTACTTGTTTCTGTGTTCTTACACTCCTCACCTCAATTCCACAAGTTACCCTTATTATTATTGTTGCGTTTGCATTATGCTTGTCTACAGGCCGGTGACAAATATGCATATGCATCCTATTGTGTTCATTCTGTATTCTTTATATCCAGGAATTGAACTGGTTTGCAATTAGACGAACAGTTGGTCACCTTATTTATCAAAAATTGGAAATTCCCTAGTAGATTTTATTCCAAAATGAAAACAATGCTAAACAAATCCTAATTGGTCCTGTGCAATGTTGCTTTACCTCTGTATATTTCCTGTTGATAAACCCATGGTCTTAACAGCGGTAAACTAGCATATCCCGGAATATTTTTAACACACGTGTATGAACCTTTTTTGAATCAGGCGCAAATACATTGCAACTTCACGGTTCCGACACATTCGTGAAGAACAGATGATACGGAAAAAATACACTTACAAAAAATAATTCCATACTTCAGCAGTCTCCTCAAAAGTAGGAAGAAATCGCTTGTTCGCCCACAACATAAACCCTTTCATTTTATCCGCCTATCAAAATAGAGCCTTTGAACAAATGCCTTGTTTTTTCGGTGTATTTTGAAGAGAATAAAGTAAGTGGTACAGACTCACCTTCTGACATTTGATCCGCCTCAACTGGTTCATCACACCAAGTATTTGTGTACTGAGTTGGACTGTCACTCTTTCCTATGGGTTCTCGAAATGAAATATTCTCGGATCTGGGGCAAACTGGGGTTTTACGCAAATCTGATACAGCAATGTCTTTCGACCAGTCCTGTTTGTTGGTCAGTACATTGAGCTCACTGGCTGAGTATGCAGCCGGGATTTTGGTGGTCTTCAATCGGGCCGTGGCAAACGGAGCCACGTGACTTGAGGGATTTACCACGAGGATATCGGCAGGAGAGTGACAATCCTGGCTGTTCTCCATGTCACTTGGATTCGAGATAAACGGAACACTGTTATTTATACGATCAACTATTGGTTGCGGTACCCAGAGTGCTGCATTTGGTTTCACACTGAAGCGAGAGGCTTCCACTTCCGATAGAACACCGGCATCGCGTGATAGAATTTGAACTTTTAAGGTCTCGTTGGGTTTGTTGGTTCCTTGAGGAAATCGGCAAAAGAATGCGATAGACAAATTTAAATGCGTTATAAAACATTGATATATGGGTGCTGGTAGTGATGTAGTCGCTGCTAGATGATAAAATAATGTGAAATTAAACCATTTAGGAACTGATACACAATACAGTAGTTATAGAGAAAACTATCGGTTTGTGGTACTGGACTGCGACATTTTTGGGGAATCTTTCAATTTTTCTGTGTTTTGTCACTCGAAAACTTAATTTGACCGAACGACCCTTTGTTGATTTTGGCTGGCGGATCATAAGTGACTTCTAAAATTATGTAGATAAATACAGGCATACGCGCATACACACATACATAGATACATATATACATACATACATACATACATACATACATACATACATACATACATACATATATACGTACATACATTCATATAGATATATATATATATACATTTACATGTACAAATACCTAAATACATGCAACTAAACGTATGTCGATTGGTACGTTCATACCTCATATTGTCTTCCGGTCATTAGTTGATTGTGACTTGAACTGGACATCCTTCCGACTGCACCTTCACGCACAATCCTCAGTTCTTCTGATTAACCGTGCACTCGGAAGCACTAGACGCGAGTTTTGAAATTCTCCTATTTATGTTCGACTTTACTTTCAACTTTCCTGTTTTCTCCTATTCTTCATCTAAATGGGCAGCCAACAGATGGCAACCGAAACCGGGGCACGAAAGTGTATGATTAATGGTTGTACAAACTGAACTGAACTTCTTAGTGCTCATCAGTGGTGTATATTAACGTCCCGGAGGGAAGTAGAACTCCGAACCCATCGCATGGAAGATGTGTGTGTTATCACTGTGTTAACCAGCTCATGTCAGGACTGAACCGAATCGCCACTTCATGTTTGTTCAGATGTTGTCATCAGTGATAGTCATTTCATGTTAGCCTGACTGCAACGAAGGGACACAGTTGACTACCTGTTAACTCCAATCGAAAACCTCCCACCAAATCATCTCTTACGTTCAGGCTAAGGACCGACTTGCCGGGAGAGAACGGGATATATATATGTATATATAACACTGGCTTGCGGAAAAGCATGGCGTATGTGCACTACTGATGATCTCTAATAAGTTCGGAACTCGTATCGAATTCTTTCCAGTATATACTTGACTAAAAGAACTGCTGAGGATTGTACGTGAAGGCGAATTCTGAAGGATGGCCAGTTCAACTCAAAATCAACTATCCAACACCAATAAACGTAAATAACTGTGAGTTAAATGCCACTAGTTGATAATTAAGTCTGACAAACACTATTGTCACCCAGGCGAAAGAATAGAACAATGCGTGCATGACTAATGAAAATGTAAAATATAGTCTGTTTCACCTAATGAAACGTGGCAACCCTATCGTGGTCTCTGTTGCACTCAACAGTTAGTTATCGCTGTAATGGATAAGAAATCCTGAAAAAGTTATGGGACAGGCTGAAGTTGCTTCGCGGTCGCTCACCTCGACCTGCTTAAGTCTCGTATGATATCGAATAGTTCAAAAGATCTATCGTTACATGGAACAAAATTGTGAAAGCAATACCGAGACCAATAAAACGCTACTTGATCTCCATCCTTCTACGACTATCGCAAGAATGCAGGTTTAAAAGGAGGTCAATGGTTTAAACAACTATAAACATTCCGGTCTTGACGGGGGGTCCTTAGTGGTCTTAAGAATAATCGCGAACCATCTGCCATATATGATTTCACTCCTTTGAAATGCACGCCTGAGGTAGACTAGTTGTCACATGGGGTGAAGACCGCATTATTCTAGTACCTACGGGAAAAAAAGTTTTTCTTAGATGCTTCATCGTCGATGCTAGTTAAAACTTCGGAGCGAAAAACTGATTTACTTTGTCCTCAACGGTTGATCAATGTGATTCCAATTAGTTCATCTATTGCTAGAGTTGCTCTAATGCCGATGTGGTTGCTTGTCATACACATTCTGTTTCATTCACGATCGACTGAAACAACAAGATTGATCTTGTTTGCAATTTGGGACTACGGAAACGTTTTGAACGCATTTAATATAAACACTATCCAAATGCTATTGAAGAAATGAAATCTCCCGCCACATCCGTTCAATTAGATACATGACTACTTCACTGATCGACACGAGCTCACTTATCTCAATGGTATAAGGTCTTCCACTGCCAATGTAACCTAATGTCTGTTGCGGAGTGCAATTTTATCCCCATTTCTTTTCATATTTAATTGCGTCGATGACGTAGTGGTCTGCGTTGCATCCAACGACAACGTGTCCACCAATCTCCTTCAATCAGCTATACTTTACCTTCCTGATTGGTCCCATTGTTTTGAACCCAAACAAATGCACTGAAGATTGCTTTCCATTATGCTTAGGACGTGTACACATTCCGAATCGCGTGTTCCCAACATCGGGGTTAACAACTTACACATTGAAAGGTTGCACCACTTTAAATGCCTTGGATGTTTTTCGCCTGCTGAACTCAAATAATTTTCCACGTACAACAAACATTTCTTAAAGTCAGAAAGCTGACGTACTAATTTCTTTCTAAATTTATTTTCATGTGTTTTTTACTTCACTGGACCTCCTGTTTGACGCTGTCGTCCCTGGTCTGTTATCTAAAGATTTCATGCTAAATGATGATTTCGTCTTGTAAGTGAATTGTAGGCTGAAAAGCTAGGAAGTGCTAGACAGTTGCTTCATATTAATATATCGTTCATTCAAAAGCATCACTACATATGGAACTGTCGCTTATGTGGCTCAGGTCTACTCCAGTATCAACCAACAACTTTAAATGTGTAAGTGCGGGTGAATAAGTCTTGTCTGATGCACCGCGTCCTCTAAACCAGACCCTCTCTCGCTCCATTTTCATTTCTTTCAGCCTCCAATAAATTTAATTCTCAATACACTCACATCGCAACTTTTTAAAATACCCTTGTACCTTCCCTTGCTCTTTTATCGGTTTCCAGGGAATGACTATCAAATGAAGTGAGACGCAATCTTATGCAATTCGGGTTACAGTTTCTACTTCCACTAAGAGCTTCCACTCTTCTTCATCATTGACTATTCATTGAATTTCATACCTTCAAATCCATTTTATTCACATATACGCCGAAGCAAAAGTGGTAACATTTTTCACTAAACTTTCAAACCTCAGTGGATGAATAACATGTATTCTTGACTTAACATGACTTAATTGAAATCATTCATTCTTAAACTTTCGTTGTTTGAATTGCATAGGCTAAATTAAATTAGGTGCTTGACTGATGCCCAATCGGGTTTCTCATTTTTCAAATGGGTATGTGAAACCAGTGTACATAAAACTGCCATTTACAGGTGACACTATGACGGAATTAGTTACTCGAACGTTGACAACAGCAATCACTCAAACTTTCCATGCAGCGAAATTACGTGTCACAGTCACATCCAGACCGGCCCTCTGACTGCTTCTGTGATCTCATTCTGTGTTTAGTCCTTCACTTAGTCCTGCGGAACAACGTATATCGGTCGCAGGAGCAGAGACTCAGAGAGTCCGTGAGCATCACCCGGCTTGGTTGTACACTGGGGTGACAAAGTCAATTACGAGCGCAATCTGTTTGCACTTTGTTGCGTCAGGTCATTTAGTTCACTTGACCACAGCATTTCGTTCCCTATGGCAGGTTTGTGAACAACAATCTAAGGGGATTAAACATCGCATCCTGGCCACAGCGGAAGCAGTGAGAGTTCGCATTCGCAATCCATCTCTGTGTGTGCAAAACCAATTTGTCTTCCCTGGCCATCCACCCACGCCATTTTCACCCTCCCCTCCTAATCTTCGGTAAATCCGGACCAAACACCACACCGGAAACAGTAGACATTATCTATATTCCTTCAAGTTTATTATTGTTTTATTGTCATTTTGTGTAAGTAATATCTCCGCCCTACCGTATTTTTAACCGAGTTATATAAATTGTGATGTGTTAGCAAACGACGACGAATCACTGAAAACAAGTATTGTTCGCTAAATTGTGTTCTATTTAAAATGTGCGTTGGTGGTCTAATGGGTATGTAAATTAAAATTCCTTTATATGGACTCAGGGCAAATGAAAATTTTTCAGACTATGGCTATCCCAAATAAAATTTTGAACCACATAACTTTGGAAAACAGCAATGTATCACATACTTGGTTTTATGGAAAAACCCCTTACAGTTAACATATCGATCGTGAATTAGAGTAAATCTTCCAGCGTTGTTTCGGATACACAAAACACGTCGCTTGCACACACTGTCGCATTTTCGATACAGTACCCCTCTGTCCACATTTATTACATTCGTTCAAGGTAAGCTACCTGTAGTTTTGACCGATCAATTTCGCGCTGATTTCATTCACCTGAAAATAACCTCCTCTGTCTGAAAAAGTGTACCCCGTCTTTACACCTTCATCGCAGAGTAGATGAAAATGCCTAAATTTTGTTTCATCAACGACCACTGCCAGTCGGTGCACAGTATGAACTTTAATGCAACGCATAGTCACGATACGAGGGAAAATTTAAACAAAGTGGGCACAGCCAACATAGACAGTAGTGGATGGTGTGCAAACAACATGCACCGATTTTGTGGCAATAAAACATTGACCAATGATTGTGTTTCAAGAGCGCGCGTACAATGGCACGCATACACCAAATGCATTTTCAGGTTATGCAACTGCCTCTAAAAATGTGGTGTTTGAAGCTCTATTGATAAACGAGTGGGACGTTTATGAACCTCAAATGAAGAAATTCATCAAAATGTATGGGTAATAAAACCTATTTTAGGATATAGACATTTTGAACGCCTGGAACGTTGATTATATCTTCACTGGGGTGCTTATCATTTCAGACAATGGATATTATCTCAGGTGTTACGGTTTTGTGTTAGACCTTAAATGTTGTTTGCACAACAGTTTCAGTCATAATAAGTGAATGAGTAAAAGTGACCCCAGGGAGGTTACCA